TAATCTGGTTGTATATACAATATACAGGACGGCATAAGCCAGATTAGGATTATATAACCCTCGCATATTGCATTTTACAAGGACAGTCACCAGTCCTACATATATGAATATGATGACAGTAGAATAATGGGGTGACGTATAAATCTATTTTTGACCACCGGGGATTTAAATGCGGTTTGTTCTGTTAGTGTTGCGCGTTTGTGTACTCCACGCGCGCAGGTTCAGAAATGAAGGCGTCCTAGTTTTTTTTATATCTTGGAAACCACAGTGCAAATAAAGCTGATATATCAGTGTAGCAACATACTAATTTGCATATATTTTTATACAGTTGATATAAAGTAGATATAAACCATCTTCATAATATCAAAATATCAACTATTAAACATTGCTGCTATATCAGTATAGCTAGAGCAAGTTGTATATTTTAATACAGCTGATATATAGCAGATATAAATCATCTTCATAATACCCAAATATCAACTATCAAATATAGCCGCTATATTAGTGTAGCCACAGAGTAAATGGCATATTATTTTTATACAGTTGATATATAGCAGATATGGAGCATATTCACACAACCCAAATATCAACTATCAAATATAGCTGCTATATCAGTGTAGCAACAGAGTAATTTGTATACACCTGATATATAGCAGATATAAATCATCTTTATAATACTCAAATATCAACTATCAAACATAGCTGCTATATCAGTGTAGCAATTACAGAGTTGCTTATGTATTTTAATAAGCTGATATATAGCATATATAAATCATCTTTACACTACCCAAATATCAACTATCAAATATAGCTGCTATAGCTTCTATATGTAGCGACAGGCTAAATTGCTTATATATTTTTTATAGAATTGATATATAGCAGATGTGGAGCATCTTCACAATACCCAAATATCAACTATCAAATATAGCTTATATATCAGCGTAGCTGGAGTAATCTGTATCTTTTAATATAGCTGATATATGGCAGATATAAAGCATCTTCATCAAACTTAAATATTAACTATCAAATATAGCTTCTATATCAGCGTAGCCGTGGGGTAAAGTCCGACTGTCACCTCCTCGCGGTGCCCCCTGGGTGACGCTAACGACAGCGGCGAAGCCGTGACAGGCTTAGCAAGCCGACGGTGGATTCTTAACTTTGCTTAAGACAAACGCAGTAAGCCTCGAGATGGACGGATCTTTAGGAAAACGACCGCGCGAACATGGACCAAGACTTCTGGATATGCGAACATTGGAACAATTAACGCTGGAACTATAGGAGGAAAAATGGAAGAAATTGTAGATCTGATGGAAGACCGCAAATTTAAAATCCTGGGAGTTGCAGAAACAAGACTTAAGGGACAAGGGAGAAATACGATTCACAACAACTATGAACTAGTTTATTCTGGAAATTATATAGACTCAAGGCATGGCGTTGGAATTTTCTTCAACCCTGAATTTTCAAAATACATCAAAAACATTGAATATGTCAGTAACAGAATTATTGGAGCAACACTAAATATTGACAGATACAAAGTCACTTTCATTCAAGCTTATGCACACCAACAAGGCAGACCAAGAGATGAAAAAGAAAACTTTTATGTATTATTACAAGATATACTAGACAACATTCCAATCGAGAGTGACATCGTCATGATGGGTGACCTGAACTGCCACGTTGGCAGTGAAGTTATTGGGAATGTCCTTGGCAAGTTTGGAATTGGGGAGAAAAATGAAGGAGATATGCTCATATACTTTTGCATAAGAAACAATCTTTCAATAATGAATTCATACTTTGCACATCAAGAGAGCCATCAGTATACATGGTACAGATAAACTCCTGGATAGAAAAGTATGATCAGAAATCACAGATTGACTTTACACTCACAAATAGAAAGTCCATCATAAAGGATGTGCAAGCCATCCCGTCTGTATCACTGGATTCAGACCATAGACTGGTAAAGGGTAAACTGAAAATACACTTACCCAAAAAGGAAAAGCAGGTTGTGAGAAAAAGACTTAAAGTAGAAAATTTAGAAAGTGCTAAGTCAGCAATAGAAATGAAATAAAAAGAGGAAAGACAGAGTATCACAGGGGAAATAATTGAAGATCACTGGGAAAGTTTTAAGAATTGCATACAAAGCATTCAAGAAAACATTGTTGGAATGACTGTCGTGGAAAAGGTAAAAAAGAAAAGAACCGGTTGGTGGACAGAGGAGGTGAAAGCGGAGGTTGAGAAGAAGGCCAGATGCTTCAGACACTGGCTGAATGTTAGAACAGCAGACAGTAGAGCTGCTTATGAACAACAGAAAAATCATGTCAATTATGTAAAAAGGAGAGCACGAAAGGAAATTTGGGAGAAAATTGGAAAGGATTTAGAGGCAGATGCCCAAGGTACAAAGAAATTGCTGTAGAGTATGTCCAAATCCTACAAAAGCAGAAGCAATAATAAACCATGATACTGCAGTCTAAAGAGCAACACAGGGGAAGTTATCACCGGAATAAATAACATAACTAGCAGATAAATGAGCAGATAAGTGATGTGCCATCCACAAACTCAACAGGAGACCCAATTACCATGGAAGAACTTATAATAGCCATCAGATTAACAAAGAACAACAAAGCCCCCGCCCAGACATCATCCCCGTAGAGACAGTTAAAACAGGAGGGGACCAGCAATAGTCAGCAATAGAAATGAAATTACGAGAGGAAAGACAGAGTATCACAGGGGAAATAATTGAAGATCACTGGGGAGGTTTTAAGAATTGCATACAAAGCATTCAAGAAAACATTGTTGGAATGACTGTCGTGGAAAAGGTAAAAAAGAAAAGAACCGGTTGGTGGACAGAGGAGGTGAAAGCGGAGGTTGAGAAGAAGGCCAGATGCTTCCGACACTGGCTGAATGTTAGAACAGCAGACAGTAGAGCTGCTTATGAACAACAGAAAAATCATGTCAATTATGTAAAAAGGAAAACACGAAAGGAAATTTGGGAGAAAATTGGAAAGGATTTAGAGGCAGATGCCCAAGGTACAAAGAAATTGCTTTAGAGTATGTCCAAATCCTACAAAAGCAGAAGCAATAACAAACCATGATACTGCAGTCTAGAGAGCAACACAGGGGAAGTTATCACCGGAATAAATAACATAACTAGCAGATAATTGAGCAGATAAGTGAGGTGCCATCCACAAACTCAACAGGAGACCCAATTACCATGGAAGAACTTATAACAGCCATCAGATTAACAAAGAACAACAAAGCCCCCGCCCAGACATCATCCCCGTAGAAACAGTTAAAACAGGAGGGAACCAAATGAAATTCATTTTACTTGACCTTTTCAACCATGCATGGAATAATGCAATGGTACCACAAGAATGGACCCAGTCAGTGATTTGCCCTATCTTTAAAAACAAGGGTGACCCACTCGACTGTAAGAATTACAGAGGAATCTCGCTCATGATTCATGTTGGCAAACTCTACGAAAGAACTCTGGAAAGAAGATTAGGATCCCTTTCGGAAAGTGTCCTCTTGGAAAGTCATTGTGGCTTTAGACCCGGGAGAGCAACTGTCGAGACCAGATCGCTACTTCAAGACTATTCTTAGAGAAAAGCTGGGAATATGACATCTAGAGAAAGCCTTTGACAGAGTCCCAAGAGATAAAATCTGAAAGATGATTGAAGAGACTGGAGTCAGCAGCTCACTACTCAAGGCAATCAAGAGTACTTATCAAAATCAAAGCAGCACCGTCTTGGGAGGTATCAAATACTTTCCCGTCAACACCGGTGTACGACAAGGAAGTGTCCTATCACCCCTTCTGTTCATCTTTTATCTCAACCACGTGACAAATAAACATCGAAAGAGAAGATTTCAAAGCAGAACAGTTCGGCTATGCTGACGATATTGCACAGACCGGGGAAAGCATCATTAGACTACAAGCAATTATGAACCAATGGGATAGTGAGTTAACCAGGGCAGGCCTGCTATTAAGCTACACTAAAATGGAATACATGAAAGTTGGAAGGCAGCTGGAAGAGGGTGACATTGTTATAAAAGACCAAGTCCTTAAGCAAGTAAAAAGCTTCAGCTATCTGGGCAGCAAGCTCTCATCCTACAACCTAATGGAAGAAGAGGTAAACAACAAAATTGCCAAATTCACAAAAAACCTGCTTGCATTATATCCCCTTCTAAAAGAAAGGAAAATCCCAAAGGACGTAAAATCATGCATATATACTACCATCTTGAGACCAGTCCTATTATATGGCAGTGAAACCTGGACCCTGACACAAAAACTCCAAAGCAAAATCCAAGCCACAGAAATGAGAGTTTTGCGCCTAATCTATGGCGTGACCAGAAGAGACAAAATTAAAAATGACAAAATCAGAAAGTCACTTGCCGTGGAAACCAAAGAGAAAACGACTAATTAGCCGCCCTAGGAAAGGATGGGAGGACCAAATTAAAGGGATTAATCAAAGGGAAGAGAAAAACTTTGAAACGGTGATATCTATTGCACTTGAGAGGACAGAATGGAAAGTGCTAATCAAGAGGCTATCAACTGACAGGCCATAGGCCTACAGGCGTCAGGGTGAGCAGTGAGCAGTTCTGTATTAAATTGTATACAGTATTCAGTACCACAGAAGTATTCCTACCTTGCTGAAAATGTATGTGCTTTGTATTATTGTTACACAATTATATTATAGGTTATATATTATTAAAACAAGTTTTTTAGTTAGATTCATTTGAAAACAGTAATAAAGATTTTGAAGGAAATGAAACAAAATCAAACACACAATGAAAAATGCTGCTTTTGCTTATCAAACATATATAGTAAATCAAATTAGCAAATTACACTTCTACGTCATAGCAGTTAACCACCACTTAGTATCAGCATGCCTTACAACATTTCATAGTGAACGATTTCACTTTTAATTTTCTGGTAATCGACCTAAACGTCTGTGAATTCCTGCAACTAA